ATAGGCACCTTTAGATACCATCGCCAACTATCAGCTGTCTGCTGGATCAAGTTGCCGCCAAAATCTCCCAAGAACTGCACAATGTGACGCATCAACATATTGTGAAGCAGTATACTATGAAGGAGTGGGGAAATTACAATAAACCGAATAAAAATACTTAAGACTTGGCCTAAAGGTCTAGATACCAGGCCATAAACTCCAAAAAAAAAATAACTTGTTTTGGTTTGGCATTTTTACTTGACAGAATGACAGGTGCTTGACACCACCCACTTGAGGACCGTTTCGGTAGTGTTCATTAAACATCGATTGTTGAAGTATTCGATAGTAATCGATAGTTTCTTATAAGACAATCGATATATCGATAGACTATCGATTGTCTTTGAGCAGGTATCACAAATAGTAATAACAATAAGTAATTATTGCACTTTTTGTTTGCTCGTCTTTGAGAAATACGCAATTTGACACTGGCTAGTGTAGAACTGTGAAGGAAAGTCACAATAGGCTTTGTCTTCAAAGTCTTTTTGATTTCTATTAAAATAATTTTTAAAAGAACTTCTAGATTTTTTTGGTTGCACTTCATTTTAAACTTGATGTTCAGACGATGATCCCTCTTCTGATTCTAACCTATCTATTTTATCGGCATGTTTTGTTTTCAAGTGATCTTTTAGATTAGTCATATTTCCTAAATAATTTCTTGATTATAAAAGTCATTACAAACGGACTATTATTGTCCACTATCTAGAAATAACTCCACCTTAATGATTGATTTTTAGGATAAATTGTCGATTCACTAAGAAGTCAAATACAAAACAAATCAGTAAACCATAAAACGCAAGATCAATCGCCTGTTTTAGCACTCGCACAAATAGTGACTTACGTCAGCCTCATACATAGCATTAGCTATTCACACACAGTTTATTTACAGGGATTTCTCTGACCTTAGACTAAAGGGAGACATTTACTATAGACAAAAATTACGAAAAGGATGGCAATCGATAGTTTAACCAGACTATCGATAGAACCGATAGTGCAAACACTATCGTTTAATCGATAGTCTATCGATGTTTAAGGAACACAACGTTTCGGTACATAATCTAATTCTAATTTGAACTTTCGTTCTCTCGTTTTGAAGAGTAGTTATTAGTTATAATCATAGATAGACCAAGCAATTTAAATAGGGCATTTATAATCCTTGTTTTTTATTCTTCTGAGTGTTTCAATACCCTAACGTTTGAATGTAATGGATCCTAATAAAACAAAGAGCGCTTCTGAAGGTATAGCAGTAAGTATGTTCTTATGCAAACGTTTAACTATTATTCTCAATAATATTACTCGATTCACCTAGAAATAGCATATGTTATTTTCTGAATTTTTTTTAATTAATTTTGTTCCATTTGCCATGGACATGTTAAAAGCTATTTTCCTGTCCTATATGATTAAACGTATTACATGTAATTTCACTGTACATTGTAATATCTTAAAATAGTATTATTGTTGCAATGCAATATATTTTTTAGCCTATGGGACTTACAACTCTCAACGAGACAATTCTCAGCAACCAGCCAGAATCAAGATATGAGTGTCCCGTTTGCCTTAACTGGCTTCGAGATCCTGTCATTACTACCTGTGGACATAAGTTCTGCAAAAGTTGCATTACATCATGGCTCCGGTAATTATTACTTTAAAATTTACTATTAAACATCAGAAAGACACATAAAGACACATCTTTATGAATTTATTTTTGTTCTCCTATTCAGATTTGACTGGTGTGACAGATGTGCAAATCATAATATCATTTTGCCATAAGTATTTAAGCCGACTGATAAACTTACTTGTGCTAACATACATGTGCAATTCATTATGTTTTGAGCACTTGCTATAAACATATGTTAAATGCCATGGGGCCACTTACAATATTTAAAACCTGAAAATTTAATTGCAGAGCAGAAATGCATCATTTGTTATCTAAAGTGTATGTTGCGGCACTGTCGCCAACCCACAAGCGAAAGGTACTAAAGCCTAAATCATGGTATTAAAGTTCCGAAGTTACTGTGCTATATATAGAGGATACCTCCAAAACAACATGGAGTGTTGGCTGCTCCCCGGGCTGAACATCTTGCCTGGTGGAAGATATCCCCTTTTCCTTTCACTGCCAAACTTTAAATATTGTTTTTTTGTTATAAGTACCATATATACTTTCATATGCATTTAGTAAAAAGCTGTTATTTTGACATTACAAACAGATACTTCAATTTTATTTGTATAGATAACAAATGTGATATATTAGAAAAGACAGCTGCGTAAAAACCAGGATGTATCAGAATATAGATACTTCTTGTCTAAATTAACTTAATATAGATTAATAATTCATGTTGCAGGAATAGTGGCCACTGCCCAATTGACAATATAAACCTTAGTATGAAGGTGGATATTTTTCCTGATAACTACACAAAACGGGAGATACAGGAGCAAAGAATGTCATGCCCATTTGCAGCCAAAGGTAACTTATTAATATACAGATTTAATATTATCCTTAATACTCTGACCACACTCTCACAGAATATATATATATATATATATATATATATATATATATATATATATATATATATATATATATATATAGAACCTTTCACGGTAAATGTTGCTCCAGTGAGAAGTTAGAACAAATATTGATCCACCTATTTTACGTATATACTCAGCTCTGCGTCGCGCAAAATAATATACTTTGATCAATCCTTGATGTGCGTCTGACGTCGGTGGATCTGTGGTTACTAATTTTCAACATACTCGTCAGCGATTTGACCAATATTTGTTGGTCCATCAACGGTCGAAAAAATCATACTGAATACGATTTCTTACATCCAGAATATATTTAACTTATATGCGACATTTACCTAAGCTAAGTGGATCCACAGCCTAAACTGACATATAGGTACGCAAACACAAAGCGGCAACGTCGCGTTCTGCGTGTGACAGAGAACTATTTCGTTAGAGTAAGAAGGTAAGAAATATGCGTTATCTGATACGTTGCGTTTGAGGATCAAACTGGCAAATTTGATTGCGGCAAGACGTTTGCGCGGGTTTTTGTTATCGTGTGAGTGGAGTAAATTTTTCAATCAGAAGATGATGGTGAGTATTTTATTATCTATATTTGATTATCTATTTAGAAACTCGATATTATGTAGGTATTATATTAATGAGTTAATCCGGATGTGATCCCGGCTCAAATGAAGGGGGGCGGAGTAAAGACCGCCTCAGTGGAAACGCACCCCCTCATCCATGATCGACACGTATGATAATAAATAGGTATTCACATAATAATACCTAAGGACTTACCTAACTACCTAGTACCTACCTACCTACCTACCAGTTTTTTTACCACCAAAAGAGTTGTGATTGTGTTTAGGTAGGTTAAATAACTGTGCTGCCTGCCAGAAGCCGAATCAGAATAATAAAAGTTTTCGCTCTGTGGTTAGTAGCTCTGGATGCGGATCCTGAGGTCGTGGGTTCGATGTCCAAACATGCCAAACATTTGTGTGACGAACACTGATGTTTGCTCTGTGTCTAGGTGTTAAATAACTACCTACTTATCTATCTATTTCTCAGGCCTCCATACCTAGTACAGTAGGTTTCACAGAACACTAAGGGAGATCAGGGACTACTTATGTGTGAAATGTCCAGGATATTTATTTATTTTATTTAAGTACGTAAAAAGACTAAACATAGGTACCATATGTACAAAATTTCAGAAGTTTTGTTTAATGACGTCGCAGCATATTAAGATGGCGTCTTTGTCCGTCCGTCCGTCTGCCTAACAAGACCCTTTATTTCGGGAAAGCGTGTAGGTATCGAATTAGAATTAAAATCATATACTCAGGTATACTTACGGCCGTGCATGTTGGTTTTATATGTAAAAATTAATTATAGGGTGGGTGCCCCTAATCCCAGCTATGCCCCTAATTCCAGCTTTTTCGCCTTTTTATTTCGTAAATAAGATTTCTAGTAGTCTTAACTATAAATATTGTCACCTAAAAATTCTCCGTAATTACATAAAGACTTTTTTAAGTTGTAGCACGAATGGGTCGGCTCGACCGGGGAAGGACCACGCTCTCACAGAATATCAGCGTAAAATAGCAGCTTAACGCTGCTGTGTTTCGTATGGTGAGTGTAGAGAACCGGAGACACTTTTTACTGGAAATGAGGCATTCCATCTTAGTCCTCACGGGTGACAACGCATCTTTTTTTGTTTGATGTAGACGTCTATGGGCCGCAGCAACCACTTACCATGAGGTGGATTGTGTGCTCGTTTGTCACCCTTATCCTATAAAAAAATTGTTTGAACGTATAAAACTTAATTTCCATCTTATGAACATAAGCCCCTAGTATTTATGGTCGCATCAAATTTAGACAACAAAAGAACAAGTAATTTGCGCTTTTACATATTTCATTACACAAGGTTGTGTTATTTGTAAAATTATAATTTCGTTCGTCTTATGAATTTTAATTATCACTGATTAGGAAGGACTTCGGCGTGCCTTGCAATCAATGCGTTGCCATGAGAACTATAATGTACATATTACAATATCTCAAGAGTTACAACATGTTTCGAATTTCTTCTTGTCTCCGTTATTACCTGGTTTTTTCGAGTCATCCTTGCCACTCCAATCAATGCATTGTTCGGCGGCGACTTTGTAGGGCATAGATATATGCCCTACAAAGAAAACTATATGGTAACCCATCAGACAACATTTTGGACTGTTATAGACTATTTTTGTAAATTTATACGAAACTATGTCATAGGCTGATTATAGTATTTGTTAATAACTGAACTAATTTACTGTATTCCTCAATTTAAAAAAATAAATAAATAGTATAATGTAGAAGTATTTCGTCTTTTGGACGTTAACATTAAATGGTATGAGATATTAAGAAAGAATTACTTAGAAATGGATTTCGAATAATTTGGCATCATAGATGTTTATATAAGTGCTAAATTATGAGAAGTAAAATCAATTAAAGTAAGTTTTAAAAAAAATATTAATCAATCAACCTATGGGGAAGCCCGGAGTAAGTTGCAAGATTAAATTAATTGGCATCTTTCGTTTGCACAATGCAAACGAAAGATGCCAATGCATGCCAATGCATGTCTTAGCACTGATTACAGAAGCTGTTCTGTGGAAGTTATTTTATTCGGTTTTTAATCTTTACTAAACGTTAATGTTTTGCTCTTTTAAATGTTTTAAGTAAAAGTTACAGCCTATATACGCATACGACCCACTGCTGGGCACAGGCCTCCTCTTATTTCTGAGAGGATTTTAGGGCTAGGAAATGTCCGCCGCGCTGCCCCAATACGTGTTCGAAATATTTTTTCTTATTTCTCAGACATGCAGGTTTCCTCAACATGTTTTCCTTCACCGCCGAGCACGTGGTAAATCAGCACTCACAATTGCAATTAAAATTTTAATTGGCGCCGGCGGAGAACGAACCCGGGTTGCTCGCGTACTGTGAAATTTACAGCGAGCGCTTAGCCCCTGAGCTACAACGGCTTTGTGGTTTAAATAATACCGTAAATCTTTAAATTTAGAAAAACCCTTGAAATATATTCCATTTAAAATAAAAAGATCATTTTAATGGGTTCAGGAGTTTCCAAGAAATCAGTGGATATACATAAAAAAAACATGCGCGTCGATTGTCGTGTTTGAAACTCTGCTAAAAAGAATGAAATCAATTTTATTATATAAAATATGCGATATTAAACAATTTGTTGTAATCCTTGTAAAATTATGCTTTTTTTTAAGATAAGGGTGACAAAAATGCAGATGCGTTGTCACTCGTGAGGATAAAGATGGAATACCTCGTTTCCAGTAAAAAGGGTCTCCGGTTCTCTACACTCACCATACGAAACACAGCAGCGTTAAGCTGCTATTTTACGTTGGTATTCTGAGAGAGCGTGGTCCTTCCCCGGTCGAGCCGACCCATTCGTGCTACAACTATACCAGTAATACAGCTGCAGCATGGCTATACCACGTTAAAAACGCTTACTTTACATTATCTCATATATAGGCTTTTTGATTTGTATGAATTTGACTATGACATAGTAATGCAGTTATTTTTGTTTAAATTTACAAGTTATTTATTTTCTTTTAGCGGAAATTAATGGGGCTGTAACTAGATATACGAAATGTATGGAGTGCACAATGTCAGCCGTCAGGCTGTTATTTATTTATTATTTGTATATGCTGTTATTATTTGGTGTAATGTACCTAATAAGAAGTATGTGCCTAATTTCAGCGGCGTAATATAAATCAGGGCTGTCATAAACTGGAATAAATACCATTAATTAGATCATAACTTATTTTATACCTAAGGGAGTTATGATCAATTCGGCTGTTTTAAAATTAGTTTTAGATTTTAAAGTTTAGCAAAAGATGTACTAGCTTTTCTCTCTGACATTCGATGTATATTAAGAACACCTTATGTAATTATTCAATTATTTTTTGAGAAAGAAGAAAAAACAAGCAATAAATATAGTACCTATATACAAGCAAAAACCATAACTTAGTAATACTAATTATAACTTGAAAATAGATGAAAAACTCATGACAAGGAATGTGGTTTAGGACCAAGCTTTGCGGCAGTCTATCTAGGAGGATGTTCAGTAGTGGACTTGTGTAAGGTTGTAATGACGATGATGATTAGAAAACTTGGATGATTAAACTATTAGAAATCGATGTACTACATAATATTTTATCATAATTTTTAACTAAGTAGAATACGCTGATTTTTAACTAAGTAGAATACGATTACATTGCTGTGTTCCGCGCCCGCTCAGCGGTGAGCTCCGCCTGTACATAAATGAGCCCTAAGGTATGATCTAGACCGGGCGCGCCGCATGGAATCGCGCAGAACAATTACAAAAGGAGATTCAAACATGTCAATACGAATTAACCCTACCCGGTTACCATAATACTTTATAGTTCATAAATCAAATGCTGAAATGAAACTTATTAAGTAGTGAGTTGTGACATAAAAGTACCTATAAGTCAAGTTGCAACAAGGTTGCAATGTTATTATGTTTTTATAATTAATATTTTTTTTTAATTTTATTTGTGGTTATTGTTTTGATTATTTAATTGTGAGGACTAAGTAAGTCAGGTTGAAATGTTATTGATTATGTTTCTTTAAAGTATATTTTTGAATGTTGTTTGAGATTATTGTTTTTTTTTATAAGATAAGGGTGACAAACGAGCACACAGTCCACCTGATGGTAAACGGTTGCTGTGGCCCATAGACATCTACATCTAAATCAAAATGCAGATGCGTTGTCACCCGTGAGGACTAAGATGGAATGCCTCGTTTACAGCGTTAAGGTGCTATTTTAAGCTGGTATTTTGTGAGTGTGTGGTCCTTCACCGGTCGAGCCGACCCATTCGTGCTACAACTATACCAGTAATACAGCTGCAGCATGGCTCTACAATGTAAAAATTTGGTTTATTC